AAATTAGATGCGAGAGGTACTTTATTTCCCCATGAGGAAATACTTCTTGGCCAACATAACCTGAGGTATAAGCTGAGGAGGAAGATAGGCTCGCTGCTCCTCACTGTGTCAGGAGAGCCTGCGGCAAAATGCCTCGATATGAGGGAATGGCCTTGCTGATTTATCTTCAAAGCCTGTAACTGTAGCCTGGTTTTCTCTCATTTCTCCACCTGCATCTTTTATAGGTTTATCTAACTTGGCAGCTGTGAGTAAATGTTTTTATTTGCTTTCTGTCTTAACCTGTCTTGAATTAAATATGATTTCAGTGTAAGTGGATACTAATGACTCGTTCCTTGCCACAGGATGTGGTAAATCTCCACCTAGAGCTTGGGGCACCTTACAAGCACCCTGGGTTGCCAGCTTCTTCTCTGTAATAACCAAATCATTACTGAATGTGCCTTCCTCCAGCTGCAGCCCTGCCCTGGATAAGCAACAGCCAGGAGGGGAAAAGTGTCTTTTAGAGTTGTATCATGCCTTCTCATCTCCAGCTCTCACCTGTATTCATTCCCTCCCTGGGACACTGGCCTGGTTTCCCAGCTCTGGCTCCAGCTTCCTCCAGGCATGAAGATAGTTCCCTGCTTGCCCAAGGTTTCACTTCAAATCGTTGTTCTTGGTTGCAGCCCTCACCTGGGCTCGAGCAGGGACCTCCTGCTGCTCTTGCATGCAGTATCTGTGTACCATTAGGCAGAACTGAGCGGCCTTGTTTGCTCAGAGCAATTCTGTTTGAAGTGCACGGAAATTTGGGCAATCACCCTTTTCTAACATCATTCTTCATCCCATTGTTGCAGCGGGGTAATAACATCCCTAGGATCTCTGGGCAAATACATGGGAGCCCTTTATCCTGCCTGGCCTAGGCATGTGGTGGATCATCTCTCTGGCTGCCAACTAGAAGAATAGGTGCAAGTTCAAGCTGTCCAACTAGAAAAAGGTGCTACCTCCACAAACTCCTCTTTCTAATTAGGTTCTTCCTGGTTTTATATGCCCACCAGCCATTTGGACACACTCACCCCCTTTCATTCACTTTGTGGTTTTTCATGATTGATTCAGAGGGAAAAAAAACAAAACCCATGTGCAAAAGAGGAGCCATTTGCAAGTTTCTGCTTATGAGGGAGGTGCTTCCCTCAGTGCCTACCCCTCTGCACTGGCTTGAGGCATTGGCCTCATCTTCACCACCTGCCTTACTAGTGCCTGCAAAAAGTAAAGAGAACAAGAAGGAAAATTACGAGAGGATGGACATAACAGAGAGTGAGGTGTCTGTGGAGGCAGACAGCGGCTCTACCTCTCACCTACTGGATATTCTGTCCAATTCTTATGCCTTGTTCCCACTCCCTGTCTTCAGTTTCACTGTCTCAGCATGACATTCTTCCTTTGGGCTGCAGTTTGACAAGCAACTGCAGGCAGCTGAGCTGCTCTGGCCAGCAGGATGGGGCAGCGTGTGCCTCTCACCTTCCTTGTGCTGGCCCTGGTGCAAGGTCCTGTCCCCAGCCGAGCTGATTCCCCTCACTGAGCAATAGAAAATTACCCCCTTCTTTGTTGGATTAACACATTGACTCAGGTGCCGGAAGTGACCACAGGACAAGGATAAGGCCAGTTGTGCAGGGGAGAAGAGGGGAGGTCAAGTGAAACCTTTTTACTTTGGAACAAGAGCTGCTAAACTGGCCCATTCTGCTTTCAAACTTCACCCTTAACATCCTCATTGGTAGCCAGAACATAATAATACCTTCAGTACCCCATGAGATGGTCCATAACTTGAAGGAGCACTCACAAGCAAGTCAAGTCAAAAGCGATCATTTACCACAGTAGTCTGGCAAAATAACTGCTGCTGAGGGAGGTACAGTAGCAATGAGTGTTCAGACAGGGTTGCAGTGATGAATATCTGTCTCCAGCAGCTCCTGGCATTTTCTCTGGCACCAGGTTACATGAATCCCATCCTGTTCCTAAGGAATGGAAAAAAGAGCCATGCCATTCACTTATTTTCATGCTTCCTAATGTCCAACACTGGCAAACTGGGCTTTTTGTTTGCCTAAATAAAGCTAGGGCTAAATAGGCTAAGTTTATTTTCAGTAGCTGTGCTCTCTCTGGCACTGATTTCTGTTTATTTGCCTGAATGGACAAGGTCAGGCCAGAAATCAAACAGCAATCAAAGGCTACCACTGGAAAGAACCCAGGAGTTCACAGACACCCAGGTTATCAGCAGCAACAGGTCACCATGATTGGCTGCCATAAGGTCAGCAAAGGGCTCAGAGAAGCAAGCAGCAAATGTCACCAAGAAGCCCTGACACTGAATCCAAATGTTATAAATCTGTGAGGCGTTCCCTGGCTCTTCCTGCAAAAGCAGAACCTACTTTGCATCTGATTGACAAGGAAAAACTGGAAAACAAGTTCTGGGGTCCTGTGACCTTTGCAGTGTATACCAACTGACCAAGACAAGAGCTGCTGGGACACCGGTCTCCCTCCTGAAGAACCAGCATGGTGCTTTGTATGGATTCAGAGGCAAAGATTCTCTCGACAGACCAAAGAATGCTGTCTCTGACATCTGAGCTGCAGGAAGAAAATATGGGGCATGGACCAGGAGTAACTCAGAGGCTGGGGCAGGAATCAACATGCAGAGGTGAGTCAGGCACGTTGTAATGGGAGAGGAGTCGGTGTGACAGTGGAGTGGGGGTTTCCTGGAAGACAAGGTGCTGATGGTATCTTCAGAGCTGCCCTGAACAGGCCAGCTCTGTGCTGCACCACGCAGCCTGTCCCAGCCCTGCAGGCCCTCTCTGTCTGCTCTGGGGTCCTTCTGCAGAGGTAGGACTGAGTGTGGGGTGAAGGCTACAAGGCTCTTCTGCTACAGCATCATGGAGTCAAAGGCAGATCCCACCTCTTCCTCCCACTGGCAGGGATTCCTCCTCCAGACACCACAGGAGCAGGCAGGCTCTGCTGGCCCCAGTGACTGCCTGGGGCGTGGGGAACAGAGTTTGTGAGCGAAGGGGCATGACACAACTCCCAGCATTTGGGAACTGGATAGGATTACTGCGTCTTTTTAATTTCCCTTTCAGCATAGATATTGCAGCAGGTGACGCAACGTGACTTGTTCCCAGCTTGTAGTTGCAAAGCTCTTCTTTGGAGCAACATCAGATAGTGAGCTTGGCCAAGGATGCTGGAGGGAAAATGGGATTTCCACTGCACACCCTTCACAACTGCTACTGGGGATTTTGGGGTGTTCCCCCCAAAACAAACAGCACAGCCAAGACCAAGGTCGGGAGCAGCACTGAGACCCAGCATTTTGGGAACTGCGTGCGCAGGACTTTACTCTGCCCCACCGCAGTCCCCCTTTGGGCTTTGTGCCTCCCCCTCCCCTTCACCCTACTCAGGGGCCAGTGGCGCAATGGATAACGCGTCTGACTACGGATCAGAAGAGTGTAGGTTCGACTCCTGCCTGGCTCGCTAACATTTTACACATTCTGCCCCCCCGCACCCATTCCCGGCCTGCACTTCTCCTGGGGCTCCTACCCAACAGTGGGTGGAAGGAAAAGTGGGAAGCTTAGAAGAAAAACAGACTGGACAGCTGGAGACACGGACTTCCTTGTTAGGGGATTCCTTTAGTTAACTTGGTACCTGCACATCCTGCGCAGCACCCTTGGAAGTCCTCAATTTTGTCAACTCCATCTCCAAAGAGATTAGTTTTTTAAAATCTTGCTTATTACATGGATTCTTTCCGTATCCCGCTGTGAACCTCCAGCACCCAAGTCTATAACCAGCATCTTCCAGTTTTCCACTGTCTTGCTCTGGCTTGGCTGACCCCAGAGGATCCTCACTCATCCGGCTTCTGCTACTGAAATGGGGCAAGTTTGGCTGCTCTGGGGAATGGCTGGGGAGCTAAAAATCACTTCCTGGTGTCAGCTGAGACAGCTGCTGTTAGCCGAGTGATAACCACACAGACCTGGTGACCCTGAAATCCCATTTATCTCAAGCCGGGTGAAGAGTTGGTAGAAACAGAATAATGTGTTCACCATATTCATAAGAGAGACACTGAGAAGTTGACCTAAGTCAAGAAATAATTTCAGATGCTAAGAAAACCAGGGAAGATGTTTCTCATTTCCAGTGGTTTCCCACCTGTGCGAGCAGCAGAACACCTTGTCCAAGCATGCTACATATTAGCTCACACTGCATCCCTCAGCCAGTACCTCTTAATAGGAGAACGTTTTCACCATCTCTTCTCTGAAATCCTCCAGGCAGTCCGAATATTGTTATCCTCATACCCTTGTCTCCCCTGAGATTTACTCTATTTCCCACTTCTCCAGGAGAAGGGGCAGCTTTTGCTGGAAATGCAAACAAACCTTTTCTTACAACACTGGAGCCGAAAATCTCTTTTTGTTGGAGCAGGTCCCCCCCAGGTAACCATCAGGCTATTTAACAGCACCCAGTTAATCTATTTGCCTGCCCACCTCACTCTGGTGACCCAGAGAATCAGCGTGAAATGTCTTACTAATGGCATTTTTGGTTATTAAGTGCTACAACTGATTGAACAGGGTACACATAGCTTGTTACTGGCCCTTGCTGGAGACCAGGTACAGAAGTAATGAAGCACTTGCAAGTGACTGGTCACTAGTAATTTGCTCCTAGATGAAGTGCTTAGCAAGCCACACTGTCATCCAAGCACTGAATAGGCTGTTACCGTTGTAAAATGCATTTAGTACCTTTAGATACATAAGCATCTCCTAGAAGAGTGGGAAGCTGAGCCAAGTGGTCGCATTAACGTAACAGCTCAAAAGGCAGAATAGTTGCTTAACATATAGTAAGTTCTGAGCCTATTTTTCTTCCCTGGCTTTCATTCTGTTGTATTTTCTTATTATTTCCTTTCCTTTTCCTCCGCCTTCCTTTTCCCCTGTGGGTCACACAGAGTTACATAGAAACCCATGCATGTCAATACTTTCTGGGTGGGTGGGAGACAAAAAGTATCTCAGAGATGAAGATGGAGGAAACGGGATGGTCCCTTCTCTGGAAGAAACTCTGTGCTTTTATTTTGTGAGCTATCCCACAGGAAAAGGGAAAAGGGGTGCTACTGTGTGCATGAAAAGGAGTAAAGGATTTTGCACGAAGTTCTGCAAAAAGAAGGAGCAGAGACATCGGAGAAGGAAGGGGGGAATCTTAACCAAGAAAAAATCAATCTTGTGGCCCTGGACAGAGCGTGCCCTGCCACACCCCAGGGCATGGCACAGGGATGTGCTTTTGGACTGTGGATTCAGATCAGACTGCTAGAGAGTGGAAACACATATGGACAATGCACTCCTAAGGAAATGGTGTCTTTCCTCAATTTCTGCTCATTGTGGTGCTTCCGTTCCCTGCTGGGCAGGCTTTCCACACCCGGATTTCTCCTGAGACAGCTCCCATGAGGGACGCCCTGCACCATGCTGGAAGGGAAAGGAGAAAAGTTTGGTGTTGTTTGGGTCTGTACACAGACACAAACCCCTACTAATAAGAGTTAGCTGGGGCCAGGGATGCAATGCACAAGGTGTGTAAGCTTGCAGGTCTGACTCCTGCTGAGTTTCACCAATCTGTTTCCCTGCTGATAATCTTGATTGTACTACATCCCCACAGACACTGCGTCTTCCTTGCTCTCATATCTGAAACCTACCCCACAGAAACACTTATCCAGAGAAGTCTCATTCTGTGCTCTTCTGAAGGAGAAAACTTCCATTCTTCTCCCGCTATGCAGTCAGACTTGGCTGCCTTCAGACACATTTACCTTCTCCAAGCCAGCAGCTGTTGCCAACCATATTTTTCTGCAGATCACGTAGCACCTGTAATGGAGAAGACTTGAAGGAAAAAGGAGAGGTGATGGCATGTATTGATAGGACAAGGGGGAAAGGTTTTAAGCTGACAGAGATTTAGGTTAGATATAAAGAAGTTCTCCACTATGAGGGTGGTGGAACACTGGCATAGGTTGCCCGGAGAAGCTGTGGCTGCCCCATCGTTGGCAGTGTTCAAGGCCAGGCTGGATGTGGCTTTGAGCAGCCTGGTCTAGAGGAAAGTGTCCCCCTGCCCATGGCAGGGGGATGGAACTGGATGAGCTTTAGGGTCCCTTTTCAACCCAAACCATTCTGTGATTCTATGAAAACAGGAAAAAAAAAAGGCGAAGAATGAGTGCTAGCCCTGTTATTTACTAAATCTTAAGCAAGCCCATGTCCATCTGCATGGGGTTAACCTTTCTGTATGAAGGACCTCTATGCCCTCTCCTACTGCTTTACCTTCACCTAAATCATCCTGTGTACATCTGTGTGTATAACAATAAATTTGGCTTCGCATACGAGAATACCAAAATACATTGTAATATTATTACCAATTACATACTATTATTATTCATAATAGTACTATTACATATAATAATATTATGACAGAAACCAAAAAGCACTTCCACAAGCATTGCTGCAAAATGGATTTCAGTGTTTACTGCAGGGCTGCTACCTCTTTGCAGTATTTTCCTTTCTTCCCCTCAAAAAAAGAAAAAAGGAATGGAAAGAACAGAGAGATGTGAATTCTTACATATTACATGTGCTTGAGATGGCTTTCGCAGCCTCTGCCTGGGCGCGCTCCTGCCCTTCCGCCTCTGTCCGGGGCTCGGGCAGGGAGAGAGGGAGGCGCATGGGCGGGAGCAGAGACCGCGCCCCCGTCCGTTACCGAAAGGCTAAAATAACAGAATTATTCCCAGATGGAATAAAAACGCGACGCCTCCTTCGAGCCGGAATCGAACCAGCGACCTAAGGATTTCCGCAAAGCCAAGCCTCTACAGTCCTCCGCTCTACCAGCTGAGCTATCGAAGGGAGCTTGCAGCGACCGCCCAGCGGCCGCCCAACGTCCCGCCACACCCCGCGCAGGGCTCTGAGCATGCGCCTGGCGGCGGCAGCGCCCGAAACGGGTGATGGGCGCATGTGCGCAATGGGCTTGGCGCGGGAGAGGATTCCGCTGAGTGGGCGGTGGCCGGCGCGTTGAGCGCGCGGGGCCAGTGGCGCAATGGATAACGCGTCTGACTACGGATCAGAAGATTGTAGGTTCGACTCCTGCCTGGCTCGCATGTGTTTTGGTTCCTCGGACTCGCTTTCACCACGCCGTGCATTCTGTCGCAGTGGAGTGGAAAACAAACCCGCCCGGCTTTTCGCCCTCGCATCTTCGTGTGCACCCCGAAACCGCATAACACACACAGCTGCCGAGCATCCTTGGGTGTGCCCTTTTTTTCCGCTTCAGGTAGACATTTCTCGAGTTATTATTCCCAAGGAAGTTTCCAGACAGCTGCCTATGGCTATTAGCTGAGTGAAAGCAACAGGCAGGAAAATGAGGGTCGCAAGGGATGTGTGTGACACAGTAGGGTGCCCTTTCTTTGTGCTCCCTGTCTGCACACCCTTCTGTTGTGGCTGGCACTGGCACTGTTCACAGACAGCAAAACAAAGAATGGAGGTTCCAAATCGGTTATTTGTTCATAACAACATGAACTACATGTAGCAAACTTGCACTGAATCCACGGGCAGTTAATGCGTCTGAGAAAATGCACATGTGGATCGTCTGAAAATCTTGGGCCTTGATGTGTGCTTTGGGTGACACAATAACCCAGTGATGTGGTGGGCGTATAAATGGAGTTCAGTGCTGTATTCTATGATTCTATGATTCTATTCAGATGGAAAAGAATCCCGTCGGTGCATGTATACCACCACCGCTGACTGCGGAGCGACAGAAAAACATGCGAGCCAGGCAGGAGTCGAACCTACAATCTTCTGATCCGTAGTCAGACGCGTTATCCATTGCGCCACTGGCCCCGTACGGAAGGGTCTTTTCTCGCTCTGACATGTACCGCCGCACCCTAGCGCAGCGCCGCCCGCCCTGCCGCCCGCCCTGCCGCCCGGCGGCGCTCCATGCAGTCCCTGCCCTTCCGAACAGTGGACCCCGGCGTGGGCTAGCGCCCGTCCCCGAGCTGTGTGCTCCGCGCATGCGTCCAGGCGCACCATGGTGGGTTCTTGTTGTATGGCAGCGGGGTCCTGTCATAGGTCCCTTCGATAGCTCAGCTGGTAGAGCGGAGGACTGTAGAGGTTGGGCTTTGCGGAAATCCTTAGGTCGCTGGTTCGATTCCGGCTCGAAGGAGACGGCGTTTTTTTTTCCCCACCCCCTTTTCCAAACGCGAGCAGTGTGGGTTTAAGCAGCCTCTATTTAACCAGTTGCACATACGGTTGCTTTTCTCTATGAGATCCATCTGTGCCGCAAGCCGAGCAGCTCCGCTGTGACTCGCTGATACTGCTGCGGGAGCCAGCTGACTGCTGTGTGACTGCCAACACCTCGTTCATTTTAAGTGGAAACCAAGATGCGTGCTGTTCTTAGTCCAACTTGCCACAACTTCCTACAGAGCAAGCCAGAGCAGACCTGTCTCATCTCAGTTAGTTAGGATGTTGAAATTCTGAGTGTCTCTTTTTGTCTAGGCATTGTTTTCCCAGAGTAAGGATGTGTCTGTACATCTGCACGCTGCCACCAGAGGAGAGCATTTTAAAACCCAGCCAGGTGACACTTGACACATGTTCACTCTCTCTGCTAGTAGGAGATTACATATCTTCACTGGTAGTTTTCTGTTACCTGTAGGTGTTGGCTACTTTGCAGGTGTCCCATATTGTGGCCTTCCCAACCCTGGGATGGGTGACAGTGGCACAAAGGACTGAGTCCTTGTGTATGAACCTCTGTACCCATTTACCTCTCTCAGAGTGAGAGGGGATGCTGGATGTGACGTTTTGGCTGACTTTAGTTCGTGGAGGGGAGGAAGGGGATTCCTGTCATCTGTGGCCTTTCTCTGCTTTGTTAACAGGACAGTGGACATTTGTACAGAAAATGATAGCGGAGAAAACCAAATCAGTAATTTCAGCTGTGATCAGTTTGGCATGCTTCATCTTTTCTCTTGAATGATTTTATCCTGGAAAGAGGCAGAAATGTAATCCTTTCTGACTGAAATCATGGTATCTACTCTGAGGGAAGGTAAGGAATGAAATTAAATGACATACATTTATGTTTGATATTTTCTGGATTAAGCAAACTTGTTGTGAGGAGAAAGGTGCACAAACTGCCTGAATAACTGGTTATGTTGACGGTGGGCCTAATTCTTCTATGATGCCTCTTCTGTTTGGTATTTTGTGTGAATCTGAGCATCTAAACACATGAAAGGACAGCCCTTTGGGCATGCAAACAAACCAGCTTCCCCTTGTCCATTTCCCAAATGCCTGGGCTCCTGTGGTCACAGAGACTGGACATCACCTTACTGAGAAGTATTGGTGCCTCATAGCAGGCCCAGATCACCTGGCTGTTAGACAGATGCAAACCCCCTGGGTGAGATGCTGGTCCCAGGGGAGTGCACAGGACACCTGCTGCTGTCTTCAGCAGCACTGTGGTGTCACTCTCCACCCTTTGCTAGGAGAAATTGTTCCATGAAGGAACTGATACTGGTAAAACTCTCTATAACTACCTGAAAGGAGGATGGAGTGAGGAGGTGGCTGGCCTCTGCTCTCAACAACAAGTGATAAGACAAGAGGAAACGGGCTCAAGCTGTGCCAGGAGAGGTTTAGAATGGATATTATGAAAAATTTGTTCACTGAAAGGGTTGTTGAGCATTGGAACAGGCTGCCCAGGAAGAGGTGGAATCACTATCCCTGGAGGTATTTGAAAACCATGTAGACGAGGTCCTCAGTGACATAGTTTAGTGGTGGCCTTGGCAGTCCCTGGGTAGTGGCTGGACTTGATGAGCTTAAAGGTCTTTCTCAACCTAAATGATTCTATGGTTCTATGATTCATCACACCACTGTTTTCTTTTGTTTTAATGTATACAAGCATTCTGCATTATATAAAGGATTTGCAATGTGCAGCTATAGCTCTGGCTGCTTTGCATAGGTAGGTGCATCTGCTGCAATCCAAGACCTAGTTCCTCTTTGGGGAAACCCTGAGTTGCTGCTTGCCGCTTGTTGGTGTGCAAAGCCCTAACTTTTGACAGCTGTCTCAACAGCTTCTCTATCTATTACTGGAATGAACCTGCTGAGAGTGTGGAAAAGTAAAGGGAGTGCTACAATTCATACATACAACCTTTATTAGTCAGAGTGGTTGACAGCAACGGTAGCTTTGAATATGTAGTACATTACATATAAATAAATGCAGTGAAGCAGAACAAACATTTGAGGTTCTGTACATTTTGCATACAAAGGGTATGCAATTGAACTTTCCACTGAAACAGGTAACATAAGAATAGCTGAGTTCACATGAGGAACTTTACTGAGAAGCAAACAAATGAGTAAAATCCCGCTGAAGAGCCGAGTCTTGAAATCCTTATTCATCCTTTCTCCATGTGTCCTCAGAATAGCTGATCCTGACAGCAAATGCCCTGGTACCCTGGAAACTGAGATTCCTCTTTGGAATTAAACAGTGAGTTCAGACACTCTGATTTTTAAGCTGCAAGTCCTGGAGAACCTGCTCAGAGGCTTGGTCACTAGTTTGTTCTAGGAGTTTTGTAGTAGTACAGGTCCCTGTGTCTGTAAAAGGGCTTTGCAGACATGCAGCAGCTTGTCTACTTTTGCATCACACTGCAGGATCGAGTCATAAACCTTTCCCAAGAAAAATGTCTCATTTAGAAAGAGCAAATAAGAACCACATGACTCGTGGTCACATTTCAAGCCTATGGAGATTACTTCCTTGATTTCAGTAAATTTTGGCTCTGGCCCATAATGGGGCCCTGAGGGATGTCAAAGGTGTTGTATGTGAAACAATCGCCCCCCCCCCCCCCCATTGTTTTTGCTAATCTGGGATTTCCCTTTCCCTCCCTGGTTTTAGGCCTGCTCTGTAGCTGCTGTTGAAATCAAGGGTGTAAATCTTGTTGACTTCCATGGGAGCAGGAGATAGTCTGGCCACCCAGAGGTAAGGTGCGCAGCACATGAATGTGTCTTCTGGGCTCACATCCCCTCAGCAGCAGGATGGTGCCACCAAAGCACATCCACAACTGGGATGGATGGGCACATTCCCGCAGCACCGCTTAGCAGGCAGGATGGCACCCTGGATTTACGTACATATGAGTGGCCTCCAAAGTATTGCAACATACAACTGAGGACAAAGAGGAGCCCATGGGGAGGAGGAAAGTGAGTGCCTGTGCACAGCCCCAGCCATGCCAGGACTTTACTCTGGGGCAGAAAAATAGGGCTATTTCTGAGGGCAATGTGTATGTCAGCTGGCCCCACTGCCTGCACTTGGAGAACAGATATATAACCTGAAGTGGAATTAATGGCTTTTAAAATGTCCGTGTGTTACGGGAACTTTAAAGAAATGTTGAAAGTAGTATTTCTTGACTTCGAAGTTACAGCTGGGTCTATGAAACACACTCTTTTCCCATATATTTAGCTGCTGTGGGATGACATTTGATGTGAAAGGTGAGAATAGAAGAAAGATAATAATGTTTCACAACTGCAGGATCCAATTTTAACGTTTTTGACTAGCTATGTATTCACTGGTCTATATAGTATAGTGTAACATTATACCCCCCTTTGGACCACAGCACTTTGATTAGAAGAGCAGAAATAGCAAACATACAGGACTGACAGTGATTGGTGTAACATAATGATTAAGAAGAAATGCAGCTGTCTAAGGCTTGAACTATTATGCCCAACCACAGAAGGGCTAAGTTTAGGATCTAAGAGGTGTTTCTTCATCTCTTTCTTACAAATTAGGGGCTTACTTTCTTCATGCTGTACCCACCAGCAATACACCTCATCCCTACCTCTTTATTTTAAATCATGCCATGTGCTCTTAAACCCCCTGTGCCTGGGGCAGAGGGGAGGACCTGGGCTGTGAGGATAGTTGCTCCTCTGCTGCTTGCCTGCCTTGCCGAGTCCTTGCTGGTTCCACAGCTGTGGTTGCCAGCGCTGGTGCAGTGGCTCCCAGCCCAGTTCCAGCAGGGCAGTGGGGCCAGCAGCCAGGGGCATGGTACAATAAGAACTCCAGCTGAAAGCTGCTGGCTGGGGATCAATTTCCAGCACACTGCAGCTGCAGCTGGAGAAGCCAGGGCCGCATGACATGGGCAGCAGGCCTGACTGGGCAGGATCAGGGAAGCTTTGCCTTGGGGCTGTCACCAGCTATGGGGACAGGAGAGAGGCACTGAGGCAGCCCAGGGCAGCCTTCCCCTCCACAGGGTGCTTGCCCACCCTCTCCTGTGTTTGCAGGTGAAGGTACAAAGCCCTTGTGTGCTTCTGGTGCTGGATGAGGCTACAGGATTTGGAGTGACCCATGTTGTAACCATCTTCAGAACAATCTCCAAGCACTTTGTCCTGGCTCAAGTTTATAACTGCCAACGCTGGGCCCAGGCAAGCTGTTCACTGCTTTCCAAAGAGCATTTAGTCTCCTGGAAGGACAGCCCCATCTGCCTTGTCATCAACTTTGCCTCTGAGCTATGCTAAAGAGCATTTTCAGGATTCTCTTCATGGGAATGCTTCACATCCAGCAAAACTTCAGCATGCGAGGAGTATTCCCAGGGCAGGCAGAGATGGAGCTGGTGTGTCCAGAAAGGGACTTGGGATTGTGTCTGGGAGGTGAACCCACAGCTAAGGGCCTGGAGGAGAGCAACTATACAAAAGGAAGTATTGTTAGAGGGAAAGACCATGCTGAGCATAGCAGTTTGAAGCCATGAGTATGCTGGTGGGTAGAGCTCTGTAGCAGCCCTAGGTATCTCCTTGCAGAGTGCAGATATCAACCAATGGGAAGTGGCCTAGAGGGAGATTCTGCCTTGATAGGAAATTCTCTCAGGTTACTCTTGATTAGCTTAAAGACAACTACAAACACAGGCTGCAGAGCTTATCAGTGTGTTTGTTCTCAGTGGGAATCACCAACAGGTTGTGTTTGCTGGCTCTAGGAGTCTGTGCGATAGCTCCGACGGCTGTCCCCTATTAGCTGTGTCTTCTCGGTCGCATTAGTCGGCTGAAGCATGATAGGAGTTTCTCCATCTAAATTGGGGAGGATGACAAAAAATACTTTAAGAATCCTTCAGCGGCTGCCGAAGTCAGACTTCTTGGTAGTACCACAACATTTCATCTGCTATTCTGGCTATAGCTTAGGCTTGGCTTCACAGACAGCTGTGTGCATATGCAAGAGGCAGCAATGTCCACACAGAGTCTACAAATGCCCTTACTCCTTGTCCACATGTAATGCCAGATTTCTGGGTGCTATTAAACTGAGTATTAGCTGTACCTGGTGCTTTGCAGATATTGCAGGTTAAGGGTTCCTGCCTGTTCCAATTGCAAGTGCTTGTTCCTGCAAATGTCTGAATATAATGAGTGCTGTTGTGAGTCAGCAAGTACAAACCTTGATGGCATTTGTGAGAATGGGCCAGAAATTACTCTTGAACAAGGCGAAGTTAACAGCAAAGAAAGAAGAGAGGTAAAAGGAAACAAAAATGTGTGAGAGTAATATACTTGAGGAAAGAAATCACATAGATCCTGAAAGGCAGCTAGTTAATTAGACATGTTAAATTGCATTTTGAGTTCTTATGTAGTATATATGCAATAGGATTTTGAGAATTACTGTTTTAATGAGTTTGGAACTGCCAAAACCTCATATTATCCTCTACTGAATATTATCACTCTATTATCATGCTATATTGTCACTCTGTTGACTCTTACTGATTTGTACTTTCACATTCCATGAAGTTATGCAGTTTGGTTTCCCAATATAAATACATAAAAAGTGCCTTTGTTGTAGAGTGGGAGAAAGTGAAGTCCTTACAGAGTTCCTGATGGCTGTTGTGTTCCCTCTGATAATGAAGACAGTTTGGCTGCCCTTCTCTTGGGCCTCTTTCCAACACACCCTTTTTTGGGAGGAAGGATGAGGCTCAAAACTCAGAGACTGACTTTTAAAGGTTCATCCATCTCAGTGAAGTGTTTTCATATGAAAAATTTTTGACTAATTCTGTCTTGATGTAGAGCTTTCTATTAGGCTCTGTATCTCAGCCTTCACAGTAACTGAATACAAATGATGACCTTTCTTGCCAAATGACCAAATGTTCAGAAAAAAACCCTCATCTGACGTTTCCTACTGTTTACATGACAGTTGATGGGATGAATCACGGGCAAAAGATGCAATGTACAGGAGTAACTCAACCCAGAGCAGGAATCTAATTGCATGCCATACGGCTTCTCCTCAGTGGGGGAAGAACAACTTTGACTGTGTCAAGGTGAAAGGCATGAATGATTAAATGCCAGGTAGCTTCTCTGTATGGGCAATTCTGCATTTAGACACAAGGTCAAAGGCAGACATGTTTCATAACTTCTACAAGTATATAAGTAATTAAAGCTTAGAGCTCAGATTGGGCTCAGATTGGTTTGGCAGCTTCAATCAATTTTTAAGTTGCTGTGTATTTTCTAGATTTCTGAGCAGCACTCCCTCCCACCCTCGACTGCCTCCAAGTTGTTCATTTTCTGGAAGATCACTGATGGAGGGCAGAGACTAGCAGTTCATTTTGCTGCGATACCCAGATGTGCAACAAGGGGACAGGACCCACTGCAAATTATGTCACATTGCTCCCAGCTGATTTGCAGACAGTTCTGAGCTGACACCTTCCAGAAGCTTTTTGCTGCCCCCACCCTTTTAAGATTTATGATGGGTTTTATCAGAACAGGGACCCATCATATAATAAACTGTACAAATATAGTCTGCTAATGGAGAGCTGCAGAATGGAGGTGCAGCAGAAATCACAGTTTAAACTGTTTAAACCACGACAACTGATTTCTATAGATAGCTCTTGCTTGCTGTTCGCCTACATTGATATCATATGGAGTGTGGAGGAGACAATGAAGTGCTAAAACCTTATTGCTTCTGAGTTGAGACAGTACTTTTTGTTACTCGGGTTCCTTTTTTTACTTTTTTTTTCTTTTCTCTCCCAGATTTCATTTTCCATAAAATGAAAGTCAGTTTAGAAATGCCTTGCTTTGTTCTTACAATGATAACCAGAGAGAGAACCTACCAAAATGTGCATCATTACAGCCTGAAGTACCTACCCTGAAGTACCAAGACAATCCAAATTCCAACAGCACCTCCCCTGGGACCACAGAAATCAACAAAAGGTTTGCCACTGACTTCAGTGGAAGCAAAATCTGGCAACCTGTCTCATGTGTGTAAGTGAAAATAATGAATCCTTGTATGCCTCTGTTCTGCAGATGAGCGAGTGGTATTTCCCTCTACCAGGGTGTTTTTGCAGGTCACCCATAACATCATGGCATGACAACACAGATTACCCTACTTTATACTTTTTTAATGTCATGTTTGATCTGAAACCCTAAAAATTGCCATTTTTTAAATGTAATAATCCAAATATTTTTGGTCTTCCATTGTACATTAGGCCACAGTCCTCTCTAGTACAAATCAGTAGTCACGAGAGGGAATCACTGTAACCTAAGTACAGGTTAGGGCTTGCAAATCCCCACGTTCCTTTAGTTCTGATGGTCATGATACCCATGGAAGTATATGCTGTAAAGTGAATCTCTCATGGGAGATATTTAACTAGCTGAGCACCAGAACTAGTCAAATATATTTGAATAAAACTTTGTTCTAGAGGAGTATGCCATTTTAACAAGACTGAAGCATGATTGTGTTGATTTCAGTGACAACACACTTTGCTTTTATTTTAGGAAAAGGTTTGCTGAATTTTTGGCCTCACATCTCTCCTTTTTCACTAATAATTATGTTTTATGGTATCTGAATTTGAGGAAAGAAATCAACTGCGTAACACCTTCATTTTATTAAGGAGAAATGTGAGAGACTGAAAATTATTACTGTTGTGCCAGTTCAAAAGATGAAGTCTAAATCTCAACTCCCACAACACACATAGAGTGTCTTTTGAGCAGTACAGCCAGCTCCAAGCAGCTCCCACTGAGCACAGTAACAACTGCTGAAGATTCACTAAGAGGATTTTAGCATCAGGAATGGTGACGTGCTATCAGTGTTGCATTCCTCAGGAAATCAGTGACCGACTACAAAATATTTGGATAAATTATAGTATGGCCTTAGCTTGAGAAGCTATGCTTTGGCCTTAGCAAAAAAGCTCTGGCTAGCAATAATATAGATAGTGGGAATCTTAATTAATGTCTTTGCAGGAAGCAATGAAATGAATTACCATCTAGAATGCTCAGTCTGTGGGCAGAGGGCATGCAAAGAATTTGGATCCTAATAGGATTTCCTCTTCCAAAATGAAAGCTGCTGCAGGAGTGATTGCAGTTTGTTTCCGAATTACCTAAAATCTGGAGGTGGGGTGGGTGGCAAGGTGCATTTTGAGCCAATTGTCATTGATTTTTCCATATACAGTGTAGTTCTGGTGCCCTCAACATAAAAAAGGACATGGAACTGTTGGAACAAGTCCAGAGAAGGGCCACAAGGATGATCAGAGGACTGGAGCACCTCCTGTATGAAGACAGGCTGAGAAAGTTGGGGCTGTTCAGCCTGGAGAAGAGAAGGCTGCGTGGAGACCTCATAGCAGCCTTCCAGTATCTGAAGGGGGCCTATAGGGATGCTGGGGAGGGACTCTTCATTAGGGACTGTAGTGACAGGACAAGGGGTAAGGGGTTAAAACTTAAACAGGGGAAGTTTAGATTGGATATAAGAAGGAAATTCTTTCCTGTTAGGGTGGTGAGGCACTGGAATGGGTTGCCCAGGGAGGTTGTGAATGCTCCATCCCTGGCAGTGTTCAAGGCCTTTTTGGATGAGGTCTTGAGTGATATGGTTTAGTGTGAGGTGTCCCTGCCCATGGCAGGGGGGTTGGAACTTGATGATCTTGAGGTCCTTTCCAACCCTAACTATTCTATGATTCTATGATTCTATTTTCCTTTCAGCTGCTCACATTTCCCTCTGTCATGGCATCTTAAGTTTTCTTCCTGATGTGTTGCTTTCTTTTAATCTAATTTTAAAATATAGAGTATTCTACTCTATTGAGGCAAGCTGGTTTTGATTGGTAGGAAGGTGTAGCAAGACTGAAGAGAAGGGTAAGAAAGGTACAAATATCTAGTTTTCTTCAGGCCCTACCTATATATTCAATACTGTCTTCAAAATACTTAAAACATATAATTCCATATTCTATTAATTTTTCAGGCTGGGACTTTGCTAAACATTTGAAATTATTTAAAAAACTGATATGTCAGTGAGACTTGGTGGGAGTAAATGGATGGGAAGTTGGACTAAAATTACTGAATACCAAGAAACATCACCTGTGCTGGAAGGAGGGTGGTATTTGCCACTGGGGAATTTTGTGCTGGATTTTGAGGGAAAGAAAATCACCTGCCAAATTAGAAAAATAAAAAAAAAAATATCCAGGCAGAATTAAAAAATTCTTACCCTTCAAATTTCCATCTTCATATTTGAAACTTGGTTCTGCTGTCACAGACCATAAATATCAAGACCCATTTTAGATTTTCACTTTGCAGGTGCCTATGTCACAGAGTATATTACATTTATTTCAGGTAGTGCACTGTGGTTGTAAAGTCTTCACTAGTACGTTTTGTTGCCTTTGCAGAGACTGATCAAATATGATCAGTTTTTAAGCTGACTATATTTACCTTGATATGGCTCTAGGCAAAACACATTTAAAAATACCACCACACGTTGGCATACCAGTTGTATAAATAGCATTTGTTTCAACTACTACAAGTGTTTTGTTGCATATTTATGGAAGGGTAAATTTGTGTGAAAAGTTGGGGGGAAAAAATCTCCCCTGCTATGGGAACATGACTTTTGCAATCTGGCAGTGCTAATTTAAGCATAGTAAACGTAAGAATGTAGCAGCGTAAGACCTTCCACAACAATGGAAAAGAAAAAGAGTGATCTGAGTCCTTAGGTCCTTCCTCATAAAAAAGCATACTCCTAATCATTGTTTATATGAATTTGCAACTGAAAAGTGGCCTAAGTCTATCCCTGCTGAACCAAGGGATGTTGCCTTTCTCATCCTGACCTGCAAGTGCCCAAATCTGTCCAGTCTGAGATGTTTCTGCTTCCCTTGAAGATGAAGGCAAACTTCTGCCCTGCTTCAGCAGATTAGGACAGGGCTCTTCATTTAAAATATGTAACTCACACTCATGCCAAGTCAGAAAATTACCACCATCATCCTTTGGTATAGGCAAAACTTGAATGTGCAGACAGAAGGGTGTCCCATTACCCTCGCCCATGTTCTTGGCCAGGCACTCTTGCTCCCTTCTTTGAACCAGCCTCAGCACTCAGCCTGCCCCACTGTGAGGCATGGCAAGGTGTTAAATGGGCAGGGAATTGCACATATTTTTGAGAGGATTAGTTTTCATCTGGATCGTGTCCAAGATCTGGCTCCTGGTAACGCAGCATAATCGCTACTGTCAGTGTAGGAGAGAGTGAGCAGCTTGGGGGCTGCGGCAGCTCCCATGAAAACTCTGTTAGGTTACTGCACAACCTTACTGTTGAAGACTTTGCATCTTCTCTTGAAGCCTTTTATTGGATGGATACAGTTAGCCCACCACAGCTAGCCATAAATTATACATGATAAAACCTGAATGAGAGCTTATTCAGGTGGGTCAGATGTGGCAAGCACCAGTCAATTCAGATCTAATGTATAAGTACGGGATCTAGGATGTGAAGCAGCGTGGGTATGGGGGCCAGAGAGTGAACACCATTGCTTAAGATGAGCCTTGAGACTTCTAATGATGTAGGAGATATTTGTTAGTGCCATAAGTTTTCATTAACACATGACTTGGGAAGTTCATCAGGTCACGGTGTTAGCTAGAGTGAACTGGCACATCTCCACTGATGTCTGGACCAGCCTCATCATCGTGAGCAGAATATCTGGCCTACAGGCTTTAAAGATTGTTGTGAACAGCTTTGCCACACAGTATGCCCACATAATACACACCTCTTTCCATGTCGTTCTTGATTTGCTCTTCCAAATCTTCTGGAGACACACAAAACTCCTGCTCTTCCCCTTCGGGTGCTTTGGGTTTACACTTCCCACAGCAGCAGTTGAAGCAGCAGCAGAGGCAGCAGCAGAGGTAGCAGCCCGTCAGCAGGCCACAGACTGCAAACAGGCCCTGTGTTAAACACAGAGGGAGGAAAACCCTGTGAGCAGTGACCTTCTTCAAACTCTCAGCAGCCTGCAGAAGGCAAATTGTCAAAGGAACTTGGGTTCCCAAGTGCTTAGCACTCAGAGGAGTCCAGCTGCTGGCCAAGTGCCCAAACAAGGGCCAGCCCTTCTGAAGTCCTCACCCATGAGCTCCTATTTGCCGCTTAAGGACCACATCCGCAAAGAAGACACCAACCAATAGGCCCCCACAATGCTCAACTTCTGAAAGTCTGTCTTCAGAGGCTGTTCCTCAGGAAAAGCTTCCAAGCGGTATGCAAAACCCCACCCACCTCAAAATGACTCATTTCCATCTTAAAAATGACTCATTTGCCCAAGATCATTTTTGCAAACACTTATTTACTGGCAGGTTCTTGTCAATAGCAAAGCTGAGAGAAAAAGAAGTGAAGACCCAGATGCATCCCACATAACTTTAGGCACTGGAATAAGGCATCCAAATTAGGACTGTAGCCTCCATGAGCTCCCCACAGTCAATGGGCAGTTGAAAGTCCTTCCAGAGGGTGACTCAGACTCAGGAGGATTTGAATTGCCCATCGGAGGTGTCTTTCTCTCCCCATTAGCCTGTGCCAGAGCACACAGGTGACATCTCCTAAATTAGACTCCTTGGTCTGCGTTTCCTGATCTGGGACTCAGGCGCCAAGAAGTTCTCACTTGCATCACCCTCTGCCCACTCCTGTCCCTTTGACACAAAGCACAGAGGCTTCAGCAGAGCCAGCACAACTGTCTGGGGCCGAGACTAGAGATCTTAGCCAGATTAAACAGCCAGAAAACTTAATTTACAGACCTCTTCTTCCTCCAGACCAAGTCACTGCCTGGGTACACAGCACAGCTCCGCAGCTGTGGTGCTGGGGGCTGTGTGTTCTGTCGCAGCAATGGTTTGGGGGACCTGCAGAAGAGGAGCCCTTATGCTGACACTGCCACCCCATGTTCCTTACTCAAGTTCTTTGTGGCAGAGGAGAAACCTCCACATCTCTCCTTGGGCATAATGGCATAAGATCAAAGGAAAGACAGTGACATTTCTGAAAAGCAAATCAAAGCTGATACGTGGAATGTGTATGTAAAGCCAGCACAGCTTTGTGGCCACCAGGTATAAGTAGGTTGGAGGTATAGCCAGGCTTTAGCATTATAGTTGTATAGTCTGTACTTTACTAATTATTCATTATATTCGTAAGAAAACATGCTGCTGAGGAAGAAAGCAAAGACAAACGTCAGGATATTGTCAAACTTTGACAATGAAGCTATGTAAATAACACTCAGTTTGAAAATGTTAGTACAGGCCGACTGAAGCATCTCTGAATGTAGTAAGACTATTTACATGCCTAATATTAATATAAACATGTATCAAGTGTGAGCAAGGTACTTATAAATGAAGGACTCTAACTTTCTGTTTTAAAATGTGTTCCTTCCAAGGGACACCCACACCTATTCTAAATATTGTAAGTCCTAAAATAAGTTACCTGACTGTTTATCATTTATGCCATAATGGAGAATAAATAGCCACAATGGATAGTATGAAAAAAGAATAAAAATGTATAGAGGAAAAAAAACCCTTACATTTATTCATGATACCTTAAATGTTTCAAGATTTCTTGTGTTTACATTATCATAGTAAATGTTTATTGATGTGATCAATAAACTGTTTTTATGGTAGAGGGAGAATTGCTTTTTGCTAAAACAACCAACCAAATCCTATGCTGTCCAGTGGAGAAGGAGTTAAAGTTACCATTACCTATGTCAGTATGTTCCCAGCTTAACATGCCTGCTAAGGAGTCTGGCACTCCAAAAAAAATGTAATTTTCACTTTGCATTTCTCCTTTCATTTGAGTTTTCTTACTTCTAATGATACACCTCCTCACAATTGTCAGATCTTCTGCGTATGAGTGTGCTAGGGAAGAGGATTTACTAGGAATGTTCGTAGTTGAAGAGGAAGATAATGTGTGAAAGCTATAGTCCCTACTGTCTTCTATCAGAATGGAGGAAATTAGGGGTCCAGAGGTCATTTTTAGATAATGTATCAGAGTCACATAGCATTGTGATAGTCACTAGAAAAATCTGAAAATGACCCAGCATTTGTGCATGAGTTAAAAAGAGATGAGGAATAATGAGCTCAGCTTGCAAAAAAACCCACTTGGATGGCGTGTTCATGCTTTGGAGGTGGCAAGATTTTGGGTTGGGGGAGGGATAGAGAGACTACCTGTGACAATCCTCAAATAAGTCTCTATGGAGATTTTGGAGTTTTTGTACAGAATTCTTAAAAAACAGGACACAGTGATAACTTCTGCTGGGATATTCAGGGTATCTTGTCTCACCTCTGGAATACAGCTACCTTGAAACAGTCCACACATTCCTCTTTTAACTATTAGGGACTTACTAGCTGCTTTCTGTACTGTCCACTGCTCTCCTTATGAGTCAAAGCCAAAGCAGTTATTTCTGTTCCTGATTTTCTAATCACAGAGGATTTTATACTCCATAAAATTTCCATTAAAGATCAGTAAGAAGAAGGGGAAATATAAGCTAAAAAGAGCAGCAAACTGTGAGTTAGCTTACTTTGAAAAACCTTGCTTACCAAGACTGTTAATAGTAGTCAGCTCTAAGCCAATGCCTCCTGGCACCTGAACTGTGACATAGAGACCAAAGGAGAGGGTGGGCAGCAAAGAAAAGAGGGAATGATGCAGCAGGAAAACACAGTGGCTGTACTGGGGAGTCCAGCCTGCAGCAGGAGTCAGCTACAGTAGCTGCAAGTGAGCTGCTTCCAGCCTGGTTCTGAGGGTGCAACTGTGCCTTTGCAAGCGTAATTTAAACACCAGTATCTCATTCATTAGTTTCATTCACTGTTCTGCATCTGAGTAGTTGCTGTCTCATCCTGATTCAGCAGACAAATTGTGGCTTCTCACAAAGTGTGCAAGTGACTTCTCAGCTTGAAAGGGGGCTTCAGGGCAGTGAAGCACCGATCTTTGCTGAGTACAGGAATCCATGTTCCATGGTTCTCAGATCAAAGCTGTGCTTGCTTCCCGCAGTACCTATCATTTTCCTATGCACTCCAGCAGAGCCTTGCTTTCCTGTGCTCTGTTGGTGGAAAGAGGTGGGGATAGCACAGATTTTGCACATTTGCAATTCCACTGGTTTGTTACATTTCTGTAACATTTGAGTATTTGCAGAAACACTCAATTTTGACATATGCAAACATCGGAAGACACCAGTGATATCAGAAAGCACATTAACAACTCTTTTATGATGAGAACAGCCCATGATGAGCTTTTCCTTGAGCAATATGCCAGCTTTTGATGTATCATTTTCTTCCTTTCCTGCTCTCTTCCTCCACTCCACCTTTTCTTCCACTTCCTTTCTCTCACCCCCTCATCAGGGCACATATGACACCATAATCACAGTGTTATGTATTATTATTGCTTGCTTACGCTATGTGCTATATATAGCAAAGAACACAGCTAAATTTGTGCTGTAATAACTTATTAACTGGTTGTCATATAAGTGGGACTTCCCGTTTTTGGACAATGAGTCATTTTTATTTAGTCATTACTGAAAAGAAACTCAAAATTAACCTGGAGCACTAGATTCAAATCTGATTAATGTCTGAAAGTGTTACAAAACATGCACCCTATTTAACTATTTACCGAGTTAAAAAGGAAAACATTCAATATTAGTTCTATTCTGAACTTATGCTACATTCTGCCACTGTTGATTTTTCAGATAATGTCATTGTTTAATTAAGCTTTTAGTAGTGGTTTAGAATCATATCGTACTATCGGTTAAGCTTGTAGAGAGATCATTTTTCAGGGGGCTCCTTGTGTATAGAATTGTGTACATTGCAACATCCGATTTCCAACAGAAAATAACAGCTTACCTTTGCCCACCAGCTTGAGAGTATGAAGTAGGTGTTAACATTTTCCTCACCAAACTGTTCTGCCACATAGAGCCCTAAGGATCCATACTTGTCATATATGTTTCGCTTGGACAGATCAGTCAATGTTGCGTGAGCACTGTTGATCTCTTTAAATTTTTCTGCAGCCTCTGGATTGTCCGGGTTCTTGTCTGGATGGTATTTCAGAGCCAGTTTTCTTAAATAGGAAAAACAAAACAAAGCAAAAAGGAAACAAGTCATCTGTATGTCTGCATAGGCATACAGACACTTAGAAAACATTGCAAAACAGATTTTAATAGAGATATAATAATTCTGAACAGTTCCAGAGTTCCAGGTCTGACACACTCTGTGAAAGAAAAGTGACACAAAATGACTGAACATGAAAATTTTGGTAAAAAAGTGTTTTATGACAATAAGCATGAACTTTTTGTATGGATACCTAGTCAGCTACCATGTTAAAGGAGACAGTGTAAATTCTGAAAGCATAGATTGCAGCATGATAATAAAGCACAGGCATTTGTTTCATTTTGACTGTCAACTGATTTACATCATTTAGCAGGTTTCAACAAAGATAAAGACTTTCTAAAGGTTGTTTAAAACCAGGATAATCACACTGCTTATGCCGTCAACACTGTCTTCTTTATAACAAATTCTGTATTTGATTGCCTACCGAAAGTAGCCCTATTAAAATTTTGTGAACAGTATCTGTGTTTGCAGAAGCCCAGACAGTGGTTTTGTCTGGAAACACAGGTATGAGCTGCAATAGAAAGGAACTATCTTTCTGAAACACAAGTGGGAAATCACAGTGAGTTAGCCCCAGTTTTAAGTGCTTTTCTCTGGGCCTAGCTCCCCACTGGTGCACTTCTGAGACAGTCCTTAAAGCAGTGGAAGCTGATCATCAATAGCTTTGGGCTGTTTATGCTGGTGTGAAGGCTTTGTTGGGACAGGGCTCAGTACCACTTTTCCCCCCGACTGTACTCAGTGCTATGGCATCCAAGGACAGATACAGCTTGAAAGGAACAGTGTGGGACTGTTAGCTCACAAACAGCACTGGGGAAGAAAAGCTTACAGAAGAAAGGGTTTGCTTCCAACCATGCTGAAGCATTGGCAGTGTGAGCTCACATGTACTTGCAAAACAAGCATAGACAGAAGTGTATCTTTTCAGAAGTCACCACTCCTTTTGGAGAACTGGCAATAAGATTTTCCCAAGACATGTATTTAATGACTAGTGCTGACCTCTGGTGGCATCAAAAGTGATTTAGTAGTGTTTTAAATAACTGATTCTCACCTCAGTCAAGGTGTGTTGCATTTCATAAATACTCATTCTGAGTGTTTCAGGAGCTAGCCAGGACCATTATACCCCAAAATACTATTTGTGGTGCAAAGGCAGTGTTCCCACTCTTCCCCTAACGAATTTATCCTCAGGGTGGAGTCCTGCTTGACTTTCCACTGAGTCCCAGTAGAAGATATTCCCCCAGTGAAATATAACTGCTTTGCTCCTGATGACAGTTCCTGCTTCAGACATATTCTGCCAATATCAAGACTGATATGAGCCTGGGAAGCACCTCTGCCAACAATGTCTTCAGTTCTGTATGCTGAACTCCAGTCATTTTCTCATAGATCATACAGAACTCCTTAAACATGTCTCCAATAAAGTGAAGAGCTTCAGTTTTGGTCATATTTACTATACTGTGCATGTGGTACCTTAAGCATACATTTTCAGTCATATTTAACATGTGGTACCTTAAACATAATAAAAGATGGAGAACTGGAAAAACAAGCTAAGTCTTGCATGACTAATGACATCACATGCCATCCAAGTATTTAAGTAGCTTATGCAATCTATCCCTTTTCTTAGCTGAAAGCAAACCTGCAATTAGAATTAAAAAGCAAAAAATGGGAGAGGTATTTACTTTCAAAACCTATGTGTGGTAGCAGGCATGGGACAATCAGTCTCCAGCCATTCTTCCTTTCCCTACATACAAAAAGACATCTTCTGCCCTCTCCATATACCCCCAAATCTCATAAAAATAAGAATTTGAACAAAATGAAGTTTCCAAAAGGTGAAAAACAGCAGCTGCACACTCACCTTACTTAGTGTTATTTTAGAATACTAATAGAATTGCTTTCAACATAGTACAGTTAATAAAAGGTATGTTCTTATTTTGATTTTGGGAAAACTGTCCTCGCTAAAAAAAAACACATTAACAAAACAACTTCCTGCAGACCAAGATGATATATAGTAATTAGAAATTATTTAGTAACGGGAAGGTGATCTATCTGCTGGCAGAAGAATTCATAGGAGTGAGAAAAAGGACTCGCTAGGTCCAACCCAAGAAACAGTAAGAGTAAGGACAAGAACTATGTGACCTAGCATGAAGTATGAGCTATATAGACGCTTCCCTATGGGTCCTTAGGAAAGTGATATTCCTAGTTGTGTGATAATCATCGTTCAGTACAAAGAGGGAAAAAGGAAAAAGCCAAAAAATGGAGAGTGAACACAGGAGTTTTTTGGCTACTTCCCATACAAAACACAAGGATTTATGTCCATTCAATTTTTTTTTGTGATAAATGGTCTCGCTCACCACCTCAGGACCACTGAACACTTCAGACCTCCAGAGCAGCAATCAAAATGACATGTTTCAGAGAAAAAAATGAAAACAAGCAGGGTAACAGCCATGCCACAAGATGTATAAGGCACTTCTGGAAATGAAGTCAGAGAAATACACTCAGAAAAATGACCTCTGACAGTAGAAGGCTTAAGTTAAGAGGTAAGATCAGGACAGACTGTGCTGTAGGGGTGATATGACAAGTGACCAACACGTGGAATCAGGAAAGCATCTTGCACAGGGAAAGATATGCTTGTGGTACAGAATCTGAACGGATGTCAAACACAGCCTTGGAAATCCTTCGATAGCTCAGTTGGTAGAGCGGAGGACTGTAGGCTCCTTGCACGGCCATCCTTAGGTCGCTGGTTCAACTCCGGCTCGAAGGAGTGCCCTTTTGGCTCTGGAACACACCCTGTGGCACCTCTGCCTTTTGGCCCTGCCTGCCCTTCAAGGCCCGCACAGCCTTCAGCTCTTGCCCTTGCTGAGGAAGAGGAACCAAGCAAGGCAGTTCTGGTGAACCCTGGGCAGGGGACGGTGGCCCTTGTGCACCATCAGGGGTTGTCAGTGGTCACCACCAGCAGCAAAGGGATTTGGTGGCTGGGATGGTGGTAGCCAGGTGGATGGGAGACCCAGGCTTTGGTTGCTGGAGAGGCTGGGTCAGGGCTGTGTGCCTGGGAGGGGAGAGGACCTCAGGGCAAGGCCATGGGCTGGGGAATTAGCTCAAGTGGTAGAGCGCTCGCTTAGCATGTGAGAGGCAGCGGGATCGATGCCCGCATTCTCCAGAGCTTTTCATTCCTCTTGCCTGGACAACAAGCCCTTTTCCAGGGGTTCTCTTTCCTCTGTAAGTACTGGGGAAATGATGATGAAATGCCCAGGTTTTGTAGAGCAGGATGGCATTCACGACTGCATTAAAAGTAGTAACAGCAGCTTAACATAGGAATTTGTCTTCACCTTTTAAATTGCCCGCCATCAAATGTCATCTCCAGCACTGTATCCAGGTGTGCACTTCCCCACAGAGGACAGACACGAATGAATCGGAGCAGCCACGCAGCAGAGACACCTAAATAACCACCATGAAATTGAGAGATTTCTCCTTGTGGATGGTCTCAGAAAAGGGGGCCTTTTCTGCTCAGGGACAGAGAGGTTCAGAGGGCTTACGTGTGTTTTTTCTCCTCTCGTAGGAGCAGGTTACGGACTCAAGGAATATCTGTCCATTTGCCTGGAACTTGATGGGAGGGCAAAAGGCAGTCCAGTGACAGTGAATCAAGGGAAGCCGGAAAAGAACTGAAGGATGGCGATTTTGGAGTTGAGGAGAATCCGTGTGTTGATGACATCCCAGGAGGCTGTGTACCTGTTCTCTTTGTGGATTTGGACAATGCGACGGGCTAAAGGGCTGAGCAAGTGTTTTGAGAATTGAGCCAAGGTTGTTTGAGTCAGGCTGTTGGAATGGAGGCATCATACTGCACTGCATCTTGGGCAGTTTTGGGTGAGCGTGTGATGGGCGAGGTCCTGGGCATGCCCCATGATTCCTTCGATAGCTCAGCTGGTAGAGCGGAGGACTGTAGGCTCCTTGCACGGCCATCCTTAGGTCGCTGGTTCAACTCCGGCTCGAAGGAGTGCCCTTTTGGCTCTGGAACACACCCTGTGGCACCTCTGCCTTTTGGCCCTGCCTACCCGCCCTTCAAGGCCCGCACAGCCTTCAGCTCTTGCCCTTGCTGAGGAAGAGGAACCAAGCAAGGCAGTTCTGGTGAACCCTGGGCAGGGGACGGTGGCCCCTGTGCACCATCAGGGGTTGTCAGTGGTCACCACCAGCAGCAAAGGGATTTGGTGGCTGGGATGGTGGTAGCCAGGTGGATGGGAGACCCAGGCTTTGGTTGCTGGAGAGGCTGGGTCAGGGCTGTGTGCCTGGGAGGGGAGAGGACCTCAGGGCAAGGCCATGGGCTGGGGAATTAGCTCAAGTGGTAGAGCGCTCGCTTAGCATGTGAGAGGCAGCGGGATCGATGCCCGCATTCTCCAGAGCTTTTCATTCCTCTTGCCTGGAGAACGGGCCCTTTTCCAGGGGATCTCTGCCCTTTGGGGGCTGTGATGAGATGCAGATGTGCCCATGCATTACAGAGTAGGATGACATGCATGGCTGCATTAAATGCATTACAGGTAGCTTCAGAGTGGAATTGTTTTTCTCCCTCTTTGCTTGTATGTCTTCAAATGTGATCTCCAGCACTGGGACTAACTTTGGGCTCTCTGTGGAGCAAAGACAGGAATGAAATGAAGCACCCTCAGTGCAGGGGCATCATGGAATGGAGGGATTTCTCCTTGCAGATTTTCTCAGGACACTGGGCATATCAAACCTGGAGAAAGAGGGGTTCACAGGGCTTCCTCATCACCTTCCAGGGCTTGTAGGAGGTTACGGGGTATAGAAAGCCTGTCCTTCCATGTGGTACTGAAACTGTAGGCAAAAGCCCAGCGAAACTGAAGCAAGGGATAGAGCAGTAGGATATGAGGGTGGTCTTTTTGGCCTTGAAGAGAGTCCCACTGTAAAAGAGAAGACTGAGAGGCTATCTCATTAATACATATAAATATCTCAAAG